CGTGCCGTTACTATGGATTTCTGGCCTGCTTAACCACGACTGTGCGTTGTAGAAGGTCTCACAAGCGTACGGAAGCGCTCGAACATGTCTTTGGCCAACAATACGAGCTGATGGGTCATATCAACTTAGCCTAGTAAGTTCTCGTGCTGGTACGATGGATTCCTGCCCTGCTTGGCCATGACTGTGCCTTGTAGAAGGACGCACAAGCGTACGGAAGCGCTCGAACATGTCTTTGGCCAACAATACGAGCTTTTGGGCCAGGGAGAGTATTGATCACAGTAAACCAAGATTGTGTACCAAGCATAAAACTACGGTCAAACACCGGAGGCTCAACAAGCTTTATCCCAGCTTCAACCAAGGAGAAAATCTAACCTCAGAGAGGGACACAAAAATATTACAGATGGAAATTAATCTCGGAGCCGAAGTACCGGCAGTACGGAAACATCATTATAGAAAATCTCTGATGGACATAAGGGCATTCCTAAATATCGGAGGAGTACAATCTAAACGTATAAGGCCAAAGATTACAATGGAAGCCACGATCAGTTGAAGACGTGGCGACGCTGCCTTTGGATTGGATCATAGGGAAGTGAGAACCTTTTTCACCTTAAGAGATGTCTTTTATTGGCTCAGGGATTATGTGTCCAATGCATATAAAGGCAGGGACTCGAATCGAATAAACCACAACTATTCACTTAAAACTTAAAACACTTTAAGATACTTTAATATCTGAGAATAATATCTTATCAGGTCCGTTTTACCTCTACTCTGAGGATGACAAGCTTCGATTTAAAACCAAAGGTTAAATTCCTGATTTTGGATAAGCCGGTCCAATGGGACCAATGAAAAGCTCAAGTGGATATGATCCTGATGAAACAGGGTCGCCTACAACTGATCGGAGACTCTACACCACCCTCAACGTGGAACATTTACTCAAGAGGATCGTGGAGCCGCGTCTGAGTCAATTTATCATACGATCTCTCGACGACTTCAACAGGAGTTACTCGATGTCATGAAGGAACCCTACGCATTTTTCAAGGCATTGGAAACCAAATTTAAGATTAGCACCCAGGGAGGAATCGGCCGTTTGAGAAAGGAGCTCTGGGCAAAAACGCAGAAGAGTAACAAAACTTTGGAGGCCTTTATTGGTGATATTAATTTGAAGAAAATGGAATTGGAGAAACGAGAGGCTCCACCGTCTGAGATTGACTTGAAGACCGTCTTGAAGAAAGGTCTCAATGAACGTTTTAAAGCAGTAAGAACTCATCTCAGCACAGTTGATACTGACATCATAAATTACGAGGAGCTCTGCGAATATCTCCGAAAATTCGATACGGAGGAAATTCAAACATCGACCTCCAATATAGAGACTCGAGGAGGAGAGAGAGCACTTTCTGCCAGAACAGACCGAAAGTGCTTCAATTGTAGCAAACCAGGTCACCTTTCTCGTGATTGCCGATCCAAGCATCGCAGACCCGGACCGCACGTCTACTCTGACCGCAGGGAACATCGAGTCTCTGTATTGGAGGTCGATGTTTGAATTTCCTCCATATCGAATTTTCCTACTGGGTGTGATCTGAGTCGATCAATAACGATTCTATTGAACTGCTCCGGATCATTGAAGTGCCTAGTCGTTTGTGTCTCAGAACCTCTTAAGTTATTGAGAACTGATTTGGGTTTCTCCGTTGCATCAGTGGAATCTATTAGTCCTCTCACTAGTGCTGCATTCTGACACAACGACGTTGACGTAGCTAAGAATAGATCACTACATTGTGTAGTGAACTCTATGACGTCTTCGCAGTTTTCCATTCTTATGAAACTTTTCTTAGGCGTCTTGAAAATTCCGAAGTCTTGAGTAATTCTTAAGAGACGGTTCGTTTATCTGATCGTCTAAATGTGAACGCATGAGCTCTAACTCACTCATGTACAGACTAATTTGTATAATTTTGTCCTCATCACCACAATCGTTGATCGCTTGGTCATATCGTCGTCTGAGTTCCGCATCCACTTGTGACATACGGCGCTCTGGCTGTTGGTCATGTATGTCTACCCTTATCTTGTGTAGAGTTGGTATGGGCGCTGGTGCTGTTTGTTCCAATTTGGATACAAACCGACTCACCGAAATGTGATTGCCTTGACAGACATTTTTGTCTATTTCTAGACGCATTGCTGACGCTGCGATGGGTGCCCCCGCCGGTGTAGGCTGACCGAACTACTGCCTGGGCTTGCCTCCTCCATTGGGCTGACTCCCGCGTCACCCGCGCCTTCACCATCCTCGATGGTACGAGGGTGGGGGAGGGTCACTCCCCCAAGGGGACCCTCGTATTACCAAGGGTTGAAGCTAAACGTATTTAACACTTTTCATTTTAACGTTTTAACGTAATGTCTTATTAGCGTAAACGTATTGGTATCGTATAGTAAGCCTAGAGGAGACCGACTTTTAGATTCCATGCAGCAATATTATCAGTGGCTGTGCCAAGCTTTATAGCAAACTTAAGTCTGGTGTAGACAATGAATATCATAAGAACTATCAATATTCTATAAATTTAACGGTTTGAATACGTTACTTTTTTATGGTTTTGTTGGGAAGATACAAAATATTTATTTCTAAAAAACTATTTCTTTTCTTAACCCGCCATTCTAACAAAGGTGTGGTATGGCCACAGCGTCGTAGCCTAAATTATCATTCTTCCGTTCGCTTTTTGATTTTTAAAATCCAGTTTGGATCGGAAGTGTTTGTTCTGCCCCTGATTATTGATACATTAAATCCAAAATTAGTAATGTATTGGCTGCAATCAGAATTATAAATTGTTAATCCAAATTTTCCACCATTAAGAAACTTGTGTTTAATTTTCGATTTAGGAAAAGTGTAATCCGGATAGTATCCGGATTTTAGTAAGACACATTCATGATCGAAATCAGCACGATTTGTAATGAAAATTGATAGTCCGGATTTTCTGAAAGAGACCCGTGATATTTCTTTAAGTTGGAAAATCCGGCCTTAGTATTTACCGAAACCGCACTTTTACAACCCTCTAAATTACTAAAATAGCAACACCAGCCGGTAGCCATAACTACCAATTCACCCTCAGGGCATTGTATATAGCAATAGTGTGTTAACAAATAAAGATACGTAAATCCTGAATCTTCCTGAGGCAAAATAATGACGCAAACAAGTGTTTTCGAGCATGCCAAGTCCCAGCAATCATGGTCGAACAAACTAGTGTACGCTCTTGTCATGTGTTGCCTACTATACATACTATCAAGTACATATACGTCCAACGCATTATACGGCATGAGTTTCAAAAACGGGTTGAATTTGACTTTCTCGCCTGGTGGCCACAACCAACCGGATCACTGGCCATCAATATACGCGAATAGTAATTACACTAAGCTACCTCTGGTAAATCGAAAGCAATATAGCGAACCTTTAATATCACTAGGTGTAGACGTTTCTGTTACTTTCGTTACTTCACCAAAGGAGCAATTGCCTGTAAGCTTAGATATAACATGTTCTTCGACGGCCGAATACAGTAGCGAAAGATTTATAGGTGCGACTGTGCTCCTCGAGGGCCCCAGTATTCTGCTATACGACTTAATAAGAAACTTTACCCTGCCATCTAAAAATGTAACATTTGTTGCGTCAAAGCCTGATATTGTTGATAGCGGGCTGCTAAGCGGTAACTATTCACTTCACGTGATCGTATACGTTCAAGCACTTTCTGGCCAAAATTTCAAAGCCTACGCAGTTCCCGGTAGTCCGTTTAATATCACAGTGGACGAACTCGAAGAAGAATTAGGTCACAACCCACTACCCGCCTGCAAATCTGGGTACACTAGGGCTGGGCAATGGGTTCACCGACAAGATTTACCAAGAATGGACCGTGCTCTTGGGAATGACGAGGGGCCGTTTACGCGCAATGGATGGTCGTGGAGGCCATTTGAGTGTAAAATCGAGGCATTCCCAATCTGGCAACTGCCACTATCAGCAAAGCCGCTTTGGATTATGTTCGTGGGTACGTCTACAATACGCGGGTTGTATTGGACTTTGATGGATATGGTTGCTCCACCAATTTTCACGAATGAAATTACAAACACTACTTCATACAAATGCTGGGGGGTACTTGACTTCTCCATTGGGAATATTCGTGTAACATACCGAGACTTCAGGTACAATTGGCCACCAACGATGCTAAAAAGTAACTCTTACTATGACCTGGCTGATAGTTGGTTGTCTGAAAATATTTGTCCAATCTCGAATACAAGTGGTGCTACGGCACTGTCACGCAAGGGGTGGGCTATGACTCCAGACGTGATCGTTATGGAAGAACTCCAGATGACGACCGAATATCACAATAATACAGGTCGCCTCCAGTGTCTAGAGATATTCGAAGGGCGGGGAGGGGTTTTAATTCCGGTCTCACTCAAGCCACGTGTTCCTCAAGACCTCGTTTCCAGTAGTGCTGCTCAACACAGTTTGTTATCATCCAAGTATGAAGGTACTGCGACTGGTCCAGTCGGCCAGACAATACGCCACTTTCTGGATATATATCCTCTATCTGCGCCCTTATTCAATCACGATCGTGTGCGACCAGGATATGAAATTCACTATATGCACTTATGCAAAGAGAACAATGGTAAAAAGCATACCTGTAGTGAAGCGCTAGATATGGAGGTTATATATGTAATGCACATACTAAGTATTGCGTTTCCAAGCTTGCGCGAAGATGTCGCCGCCGGGGCTGACAAAGTATGCGGAAATGATTGTGGATCCTGGCAGAAAAAGGTTTGGGATATACAGGAGAAAGACGAACTACCCGGGATATATATAAATCATACAGTGGCTACCCAGCAATGTCCTCCAATGGGAGGAATGGATAATCGCGCTGTAAGGTATAAAGAAAAATTCACGGTTGTAGGGACAGAATGGTGATGGACCAGTATTTTACTGAGGAAACGTTTTGGTTCAACTTGTTATTTCAAAACCCTAAACCCCTCCAATGGGAGGAATGGAGAATACATAGCGCTCTACGGTACAAAGAAAATTTCACGGTTGTAGAGAGAATTGTGATGGACCGGTATTTTACTGAGGAAGCGTTTTGATCTCACATGTTATTTAATTCCTGCGAGATTCGGATTTGGGACTTTACCAACACTTAGGATAACTTGTTCATGTTGGGTGTTACAAGGAGATGATGTAGTTGGTTGAAAGCAAGGTCAGAGAAGGTCAGGGGATTGTTAGCAGAGCAACATATTGGTAGTTTTAGGTCAACCGAGCTCATTAGCTTATTCAGTTCGAGTTAATGCTCGTATTTCGTTTCCAACATTAAATTATCGTCCATTACAGTGGATAAATACAAATATATATCGTATTTCATGGTGTATGCAACTTTTGCACCTTCACGTTGGCCTATAATAGAGAATATAATCCCAGTTAACCAGAGTCACCAAAATCACACCGGCATTTTATGACACATCGAACGTTTTCCACATAAAAGATCATGCTCAATTTTGTACGCTGCAGCTTGTTCGTCCTGAGGAAGGGGGACAGGGCGAAGATATACCGTGGGTTCCGTGCATCCCAGTGCTTCGTCTAAAACTGCTTCCACGAGGCTCTCTGTATGATGGGGGTAATAAACTCGTTCCGTTTCCAGGGTATAGGGTATTGATCAAAGTAAACCAAGATTGTTTACCAAGCATAAAACTACGGTCAAACACCGGAGACTCAACAAGCTGTATCCCAGCATCAACCAAGGAGAGAATCTAAACTCAGAGAGGGACACAGAAATATTACAGATGGGAATTAATCTCGGAGCCGAAGTACCGGGAGTACGGAAACATCATTATAGAAAATCTCTGATGGGCATAAGGGCATCCTTAAATATCGGAGGAGTACAATCTAAACGTATAAGGCCAAAGATTACAATGGAAGCCACGTTCAGTTGAAGACGTGGCGATGCTGCCTTTGAATTGGATCATGATCATAGGGAAGTGAGAACATTTTTCACCTTAAGAGATGTCTTTAATGGCTAAGGGATTATGTGTCCAATGCATATAAAAGCAGTGACTCGAATCAAATAAATCACAACTATTCACTTAAAACTTAAAACATTTTAAGATACTGTAATATCTGAGAACAATATAGGGGGTCTTAACGGCACGAGAACATACTAGGCGAAGTTGATATGGCCTATCAGCTCGTATTGTTGGCCAAAGACATGTTCGAGCGCTTCCGTACGCTTGTGAGACCTTCTACAACGCACAGTCGTGGTCAAGCAGGCCAGAATCCATCGTAACGG